ACCCTAAACCCTAAACCCTAAACCCTATACTGGATTCTTCATTCTAATTCTCTTATTTTGCTTGTTTAATTGAGTTATAAGGAGTGAAGATATGAATGACGCATGAACTCAATTGAACAACAAGCAAAATTAGGAAAGGAATGAAGAAAGAAGAAAAATAGAGAAAAGAATAATGCACGCCAAATAGTAAGTCTTTTTATGAGGCGTGCACTACGTTCTCTTCGTTCATTCTATTTCATTGTGTTCTCGCTTCACTTCGTTCATTGAAACACCATTGAAATAGAATTCTCTTCGTAATATTAGCCCGGCTTTATAAGGACGAAAAGGACGCATGAAAGCCGGGGTGAATATTATGAACGAAGTTAGGGGCGCACAGTACAAAAAGCCTTATTTCGTGCGCCATGCAAATAAAATTAAAGGGCAAATTATTAGTGTGAATGTAGCGTGAATACATGAACTGCGTTAATTTAATTCACTTCATTCACGTAATAATTTAATGGGAGATTCTGTGAGGTTATTTAGTTCTCTTCACTTTAATAATATTGTGTGCGCTTTCCCTAAACCCTAAACCCTAAACCCTAAACCCTAAACCCTAAACCCTAAACCCTAAACCCTAAACCCTAAACCCTAAACCCTAAACCCTGAACCCTAAACCCTAAACCCTAAACCCTAAACCCCAAACCCTGACAACCCGGAATCTCAGCACCCGCCACCCTGAGAGAGCTCCAAGGCTGGGGCCGGCCCAGTCGCACGAAGTGGTGCTTGACGACTCCGAGCTGGTTTAGGGTTTAGGGTTTAGGGTTTAGGGTTTAGGGCTTAGGGCTTAGGGCTTAGGGCTCATGGCTTTAGTGTTTTAGTGTTTTAGGGTTTTAGGGTTTTAGGGCTTTTGGGTTTTAGGGTTTTAGGGTTTTAGGGTTTTAGGGTTTTAGGGTTTTTGGGTTTTAGTGTTTTAGTGTTTTAGGGTTTTAGGGTTTTAGGGTTTTAGGGTTTTAGGGTTTTAGGGTTTTAGGGTTTTAGGGTTTTTGGGTTTTTGGGTTTTTGGGTTTTTGGGTTTTATTGGTTTTAAGGGTTTTACGGTTTTAGGGTTTTAGGGTTTTAGGTTTTGGTTTGGGGTTTAGAGGATTCAGGGGGTTGTTCTCAACTAGGCTTTCCTTCTTGAAGGCTGCTATAATACACCAGGTTCAGTTTAGGGCGGCCAACCCCCAAATCCCTAAACTTTGTCATCGTGGGGAAACACTTTACATTGTTTAATTCAAGGGTACTTAAACTCAACAAGGAATAGGAAGTTAAATTATAGATACTATCCCAACCATGAACTAGTGAAACCTTAACTAGATTCACCCTCAGGGCTTGCAGGGCTTAGGGTTTCGGGTATTCAGGGTTCAGGGTTTAGGGTTTAGGATTTAGGGTTTAGGGTTTAGGGTTTCGGGTATTCAGTGTTCAGATCAGGGCTTTGCCACTGAATTGGGGGGTCCTAGCTGGGCGTTTATGGCTGTAGGTTTGTTGGAAGCAGGCTCATGGTTCAGGGTTTCGGATTTAGGGTTTAGGGTTTTTACTGAAAACCAAAAATCCGTCAACCCTGCGTCCCTGCCCCGGCCGCTCATCCCATTCCTGAGTCGCTTTTCTTGCACCTTTTCCTTATCCATATTGTTATAGTTCCCTTTCCTGATTTCATTTTAAGGGTTTAGGGCTTACGGTGTCGGACTAGAGCCTGAAGCCCCAAACTCAACAGAGGGTTTGGGCTTCACGCTCAGGGGTTTCAAGCTTTGCAAATCCTCTCCTCAAAACCCTCAACCCTCAACCCTCAACCCTCAACCCTCAACCCTCAACCCTCAACCCTCAACCCTCAACCCTACCTCAACCCTCAACCCTCAACCCTCAACCCTCAACCCTCAACCCTCAACCCTCAACCCTCAACCCTCAACCCTCAACCCTCAACCCTCAACCCTCAACCCTCAACCCTCAACCCTCAGACTCAACTATGGGTACAAGGTGTCCTCCCAGGTTGCAGTGGGGAACCAGTCTTCTGAGGAACCTCAGGGCTTAGGGTTTAGGGTTTAGGGTTTAGGTTTAGGGTTTAGGGTTTAGGTTTAGGGTTTAGGGTTTAGGGTTTAGGGTTTAGGGTTTAGGGTTTAGGGTTTAGGGTTTAGGGTTTAGGGTTTAGGGTGTTTAGGGTTTAGGGTTTAGGGTTTAGGGTTTAGGGTTTAGGGAAGCAGCCCTTGCCGAGGAGCATCTGGTTCGGGAGACCCTGTGGAAGCAGCAGGAGACACTGTCAGGGTTCGGCTTCGGGGTTTAGGGTTTAGGGCTAGGGTTTAGGGTTTTAGGGTTTTAGGGTGTAGGTTTTTAGGATTTTAGGGTTTAGAGTGTTTAGGGGTGGTAGGGTTTTAGGGCTTTAGGGTTTAAAAATGGAAGTTTAAGTTTGCCCTCAAATTCAGTCAAGGTATGATGCCAGATAGGCTCGTTGCCCGCGATGCAAGCTGCAAGGTTTATGACATAAACCGCAGTACTGCGAGAAGGGATCAGCTGAGCTATCACGGTTTAGGGTTTAGGGTTTAGGGTTTTGCCGTGGCTTTTGCAACAATCAGCTTCTTGAATGGGAGCGTGAGCTGGGCAGAGCTGAACAGACGACGTGGGATTTCCTTTGTGAAGGCTACGCAAAAGTTTGGCCTGACACAGCTGACATCGTTGAGCCAGATGATACCACAATCTTTGTTTGCGAGAGAGGATTTAGGGTTTAGGGTTTAGGGTACAAACCCTAATTTGGTCGTCAGCAAGTGCCGATGTTTTGCAACCTTGGCCTCATGGTATGGATCCAAAAGCAAGGTTTTAGGCATCCGCCCAACCCGAGTAGAAGGTGTTTCGGGTTCGGGGGGCTTGAGGGTTTAGGGTTGGGATGATCCCCCTATACTAACAGTCCTTAGTAGGGAATCAAATACGGGGTATTATAACCCCTTTTCAGGACTGTTAGTATCAGGGGGAACATCCCAAGTTCAGGGGTATTTTGAGCGAACAGAGACCGAAGCTGCCCAGGCCTATACGGCTCTGAGCTTAGAGGCTAGGACCCTTATTTCCTTTTGTTAGGGGTTGGGTTACCTTAGAAGCCCCTGTAAACCAAAAAGGGCACCCTTTTTGTTCCTAGGCTACTCCTGGGTCTAGGTGGGCTTATAGCCTTTACAGAGCTTCTACGTTTACTGGGCTCTACAGCAGTGCCCTTCTTCTTTGCTTTGGTGGTTTCCCCACTAGAGCAAAAATTTGGTGACCTTTCTTTCTTCCTAGGCTGGCGTGGACCTGAAACCCGAAGCCCGAAGCTCTAAACGTGAACCCTGGGAACCCTGAACCCCAAAGACAGGACAAGACCGATGATGAGCTCTAACAACCAAGCCCTAAAGCCTGAACCCAAATCCCTGGAAGCAGGACAAGATAGATGCAAAGTTTCTGGGTCAGTCCGCCATGGCGGCATTGGCAGTTACAGCCGCTGAGGCTTATGAGGCTGCGGAGTTTTTTTCCGGCAGGGTTGGGGGCAGAGGGTTTCCCCCAAACCTAAGCCCTAAACCCTACACCCTGAACCCTAAACCCTAAACCCTAAACCCTAAACCCTAAACCCTAAACCCTAAACCCTAAACCCTAAACCCTGAACCCTGAACCCTAAACCCTAAACCCTGAACCCTAAACCCTAAACCCTAAACCCTTGGTTAGGGCTTAGGCTTCGGGTCTAGGGACTCTTCGAGGTTTCGGCCACGACAGGGATGAAGGCTCTGCGAAGCCCAAGAGCCCTCAACTCGGATCCCCAGCCTTCGCCTGAACCCTAAACCCTAAACCCTAAACCCTAAACCCTAAACCCTAAACCCTAAACCCTAAACCCTAAACCCTAAACCCTAAACCCTAAACCCTAAACCCTAAACCCTAAACCCTCAACCCTCAACCCTCAACCCTAAACCCTAAACCCTAAACCCTAAACCCAAGCTCTGGGTTCCGGAGTCTGCATGGGCGGGGGAGGGAAGCACTTGAAGTTGACGAAACTCTTAACCCCCCAAACCCTCTTGTTGCTGGACTTCACCCCAAAACCCTTCAAACCCCAAACCCTAAACCCTGAACCCCCAAACCCTAAACCCTAAACCCTAAACCCTAATCCCCAAACCCCAAACCCCAAACCCCAAACCCCAAACCCCAAACCCCAAACCCCAAACCCCAAACCCTAAACCCTAAACCCTAAACCCTAAACCCTAAACCCTAAACCCTAAACCCTAAACCCTTCCCCCAGCTCCAAAAGCCAGGGCCGAGGGTTCTTGACGCCGGGAAGGGCGTTCGGACCGAGGGTTCTTCAGCTTCTTTCTATATTTAGGGTTTAGGGTTTAGGGTTTAGGTTTTTGGGGTTTTAGGGTTTAGGGTTTACGGTTTGGGGTTTAGGGTTTAGTGTTTGGGCCTACATGAATTGTAGGATGTTTAAGGGCTGGGGTTTATGGGGTTTTGGGTTTATAAGGTGTATGTAGATTTTGAGTTTGTAGAGTATATCAACATAAGGTTGAGAGTGTATTTGTTGGGCTGAAGGTAAGGCTTGCAGGGGTTAGGGTGTTGGAGGTTCGGCTGATTTGCTAAGACCCCCAGCCCCCTCCCCTCCTCGACGTACCCTTCAGACACCCTTGGGTCCTTGAATTCTAAACCCTAAACCCTAAACCCTAAACCCTATACCGTCAACCCTCAACCCTCAACCCTCAACCCTGAACCCTGGACCCTGTGAAAGATTCACCCCCAAACCCTGAACCCTAAACCCCATCAAGTACTAAGCTCTAAAGCCTGACTCCTATTAAGCTTTAGATTTTTGGGGTCTAGTTTCAAGGGTTTTGGGCTTGGGTTCAGGGTTCAGGGTTTAGGGTTTAGGGTTTAGGGTTTAGGGTTTAGGGTTTACGGTTTAGGGTTTGGGGTTTAGGGTATCGGGTTTAGGGTTGAGGGTTGAGGGCTGAGGGTTGAGGGTTGAGGGTTGAGGGTTGAGAGTCGCCAAGGACCAGCCAGCCATGCCGGAAGAAGAGGACTCAGATCCTCCCTTGTGCCCGCAGTCGGCGGCGCCCGACGAGCACGCCTTGGTCTCGGCCCAGGTGGCGTTCAGCGTCTAGGGGGCTTTAGGGTTTCGGGTTTAGGGTTTAGGGTTTAGGGTGTAGGGTGTAGGGCTTAGGGTTTAGGGTCTAGGGTTCACGGTTTAGGGGGTTTAGGGTTTGCCGAGCGACACTAGAGCCTAAAGGCAAACGCCCCTGAAGCTCTGGAACCTCCAGACTCCTTCAAAGGAATCGAAACTCCATTCATCCCAAGTCCAAGAACCCTAAACCCTAAACCCTAAACCCTAAACCCTAAACCCTAAACCCTAAACCCTAAACCCTAAACCCTAAACCCTAAACCCTAAACCCTAAACCCTAAACCCTAGTAGTGGATGGAGCCCCTCAGCCCCAGACCTGAGCCTTCCAAGTACTTAGACTTTAGGCCCTGAGCCCTAAGCCTCAACCCTAGACCCCAAACCCTGGCCCCCTAACCCTAAACCCTGAGCCCTATAAAGCCTAAACCCGAAACCCTAAATCTTAAACCCTAAACCCTAAACCCTAAACCCTAAACCCTAAATCTTAAACCCTAAACCCTGACCCCTTGGGCCTAGAAGATCCGAGCCTCATGGTGCTCCCGCCAGGCCACTGGCGCAGAGTCACCAGACGGTGACTCGGAAGGACAGCAAAGCGCTTAGGGTTTAGGGTTTAGGGTTTAGGGTTTAGGGTTTAGGGTTTAGGGTTTAGGGTTTAGGGTTTAGGGTTTGGGGTTTGGGGTTTGGGGTTTGGGGTTTGGGGTGTAGGGGTTTACGCTTTCTCTTGTGACACTTGGGGGTATTGGGTTTTGGGTTCAGATTCTACGTGATGGACCTTTCCGGGGGGCTGTGAGTTACGGCACATATGCGTCTTGTTCAAGGTGCTCCATAGAGACCCTAACTCAATTCAGCCCGCACTTGGTTGCGCAACCAACGGAAGTACACAGCCGAAGTAACCGTAACTAAGCCCTAAACCCGAAACCCTAAACCCTAAACCCTAAGCCCCCAAGCACCCTCTGAGCCCCGATCCCTTGGACAGCAAAGGGGAAAAGAAGAACAGCATCTACGGGCAGTTGTTCGCGACGAATCGGACGCGTTCGACGATCAGCGCCCAGACTTCCGAAGGTTAGTCTTAGGGTTTAAGGTTCAGGGTTCAGGGTTTAGGGTTCAGAGTTCAGGGTTTAGGGTTTAGGGTTTAGGGTTTAGGGTTTAGGGTTTAGGTTTTAGGGTTTAGGGGTTTAGGCTTGTGTGTGGGGTTTGCTTTGGGGCTTCAGGGGCTTACCTCTGAACCCTAAAAGCCTCTTGGGTTTAGGGTGTAGGGTTTGGGGTTTGGGGTTTCGGGTTTAGGGTTTAGGGTTATACCCCCTACATGCTATACTTCAACCCATTGGTGCGGGGTTAAAGGGGCTTTGTAGGCCCCAACTCAGCTTTAACCCTAAACCCTAAACCCTAAACCCTAGACCCTAAACCCTAAACCCTAAACCCTTTAACCCTAAACCCTAAACCCTAAACCCTAGACCCTAAACCCTAAACCCTAAACCCTAAACCCTAAACCCTAAACCCTAAACCCTAAACCCTAAACCCTAACCTAAACCCTAAACCCTAAACCCTAAACCCTAAACCCTAAACCCTAAACCCTAAACCCTAAACCCTAAACCCTAAACCCTAAACCCTAAACCCTAAACCCTAAACCCTAAACCCTAAACCCTAAACCCTAAACCCTAAACCCTAAAGCCTCTTAGACCCCCCTCAACCCTCCGAGGCAAGGGGCAGAGGAAGTCGGAGAAAGGCGACCAGAACGGCCAAGAAGTCCGAGATTCCTGGGCGGCCGCAGAGATGCTGCAGCTCCTTGGCTTGCAGCTGGTAGGGCTTATGCATGAAGAAGCTTTGAGTTTAGGGTTTAGGGTTTGGGGTTTAGGGTTTAGGGTTTAGGGTTTAGGATTTTGGGTTTAGGGTTTGGGGCTTAGGGCTTGGGGCTTCAAAACGCCGGCGCCACAGGCTTACGGGCGAGGACAAGATCATGGGGCGCTTCGACACGGCCCCTTCGCCTGAGGGACCAAACCTTTTAGGGTTTCGGGTCGAGGGTAAACCATAGACCCGTATTGTATCCTAAACCCCCAAACCCTAAACCCCAAACCCTAAACCCTAAGCCCTAAGCCTTAAACCCTGAGCCTGAAACCCCTATGAGGGCTATGGCCGTGAACAACTATTGCGGTTACTTTGGCTGGGTCCGGGTACGCCCTCAACCGACTCTAATCCCTGCGCCCGAAACCGTAAACCCGGAGCCCTAAACCGGAGCCTGCTCTTCAGTTGGGATGTCGCGGCGTTTAGGGTTTAGGGTTTAGGGTTTAGGGTTTAGGGTTGAGGGTTGAGGGTTGAGGGTTGAGGGTTGAGGGTTGAGGGTTGAGGGTTGAGGGTTGAGGGTTGAGGGTTGAGGGTTGAGGGTTGAGGGTTTAGGCTACTTTAAGTCTCAAAACCTAAGCCCTGACCACGCACACAATCCCCTTGACCCTAATCCCTAGTCCCAAAACCCTAATCCCCAAATCCCAAAACCCTAAACCCTGAAGACTCAAACATATCCTTAGCAGAAGCTCTTCCTGCGGGGGCCTTGGGCATAGTTTTTGTTTTTTGGGTACGGTAATTCCTAAGAAACAGCTAACATCAAGATCTTTGCTGGGGTTCCAAGTTCAGTCCCTAAACCCTAAACCCTAAACCCTAAACCCTAAACCCTAAACCCTAAACCCTAAACCCTAAACCCTAAACCCTAAACACCAAACCCTAAATCCCAAGAGGTGATCGGCGTGATGGTGCTCCTAAACGCCTTCTCCATGGCTGTCAACCTGGACACTCGGTGCTGAAGGTCTAGAGTCTAGATGTTTGAGGCTTGCAGGGGTTTAGGGTTTAGGGTTCAGGGTTTAGGGTTTAGGGATTTAGGGGTTTAGGCAGGGTTTAGGGTTTTGGGGCTCGCGCAACTTGCGAGAGCGCGACCAGGTGGTCTGCGGGGATTGGAGGCTTGGAGGTAGCACTAGGGTGGGAAC